CTATGGCCTTGCCTATCCCTGAGAAGGTACCTGAGGTGTGCAGGTGGGGTTGGTTGGGGCATGGGGGCCTTCAGCCCAGGGTGAGTGTTGTGTGTGTTTGTGCAGACAACACTGGGGGCTCTTTCCTCAGTGGTCGAAGCAGCTCAGATGTCAGTGCCGTTTTGCTGGGCATACCCAGTGACTCAGGGTATCCTCTCTGCATTGATACCTGCCATGGGTACCCAGGCTGCCCCTGCCCTGAACAGCTTTGTGCCATAGCCAGAGCTGGGGCTGCTCAGCTTTGATGGGAGCAGCAGGCTGGCTGCTCTGCCTGGCTCCTATTGCAGACCCCAGCGACGGATGGTGGAACAAAACTGATGAGGAAAGAACAAAAATGACTCCCTGAAACCAGCGCCTTGAAGTTACTATGTAAAGGCTGCAGCTGGCACGTCTCTTTGCTGGTAAGAGGCTTGGTGTAGTAAAAAGCTGCCACAAGAGGCTGTGTGGGCCCCCTGAACCACCTGTGACCCAAACTGGCACCCAAAAATAACCCTGCTGCCCTGCTCAGGGCTTTAAGTTTTTTTTTCCATTTCTTTGTCTGCGCACCTTTCAGTGAGGGCTGAGCACTGCACAGTTGTGCTGGAGACCATACTCTGATACCTCAGTTAAAGGTGCCAGCGAAACACAAACTGCAGCACTTGGAGCTTGGGAATTGGGCACCACAGAGCTATGAGCAAGACCGAGGAGCTGTCAGAAATGCACGTTTCAGATGGTTGGCTAACAAGTTAATAACAGACAGCGTGCAAGAGCATCGAGACAGCCCTGTGAAGGCTTCTGGACTGTCAGGCTGCTGCTTTCCTTGCTTTGCAGTTTGCCTAGCATGAAACACAGGCATCAACTTAGTGAACCTGCTGCTTTCCTCGGCCGCTTCAAATGAGGCCACTTTTCAAGCACGATTTTTCCCACGTGAAAGGTAGAATAAAATATCAGTGTGATCGCAAGGGCCTTGGAGGACAACCGCAAAGCTTGAGAAAAGTGCGTCTTAGTGCAGGCTTTGAATATTTGGGTATTGCTAAAAGGCAACACTGGAGGGCAGCAGAGTCCCATTGGACATTCACTGCTGCTCCCCTCCTGTAGCTGTTTCCTGAGGAAAGGAGCACCCATCGCCAACCTCGCCAGCGCTTTTCACAGAATCACTGAATATCAGGAGTCGGAAGGGACCTCGAAAGCCCATCCAGGCCAACCCCTGCCACAGCAGGATCACCAGAGCAGTCACACAGGAACACGGCCAGGGCTTTGGGTGTCTCCACACAAGGAGACTCCACAACCTCTCTGGGCAGCCTGGGCCATGCTCCAGAACCCTCACACTCACAAAGTTTGGCCTCATCTTCAGCTTGAACCTCCTGTGCTCCAGCTTGGGACCATTGCCCCTTGTCCTGGCATTGGCCATCCCAGAGCAGAGCCTGGCTCCTTCCTCCTGACACTGCCCTTTCCCAATGGATCCCCAGGAATGAGGGCACCCCTCAGTCTCCTCTGCTCCAAGCTCAAGAGCCCCAGCTCCCTCAGCCGCTCCTCAGCAGGAGATGCTCCACTCCCTCCAGCATCTCTGTGGCCCTACTGGACTTTTCTGCAGAAGCGCAGGAGCCTCCTGGCTGACACAAACACCTATTTGTCAATAACTTGTTTTATTTTTGACTTATTATTTAACTTATTTACTATTATTTAACTTATTTTTATTATATTTATTGAGGGAGTGGAGCATCTCCTGCTGAGGAGCGGCTGAGGGAGCTGGGGCTCTTGAGCTTGGAGCAGAGGAGACTGAGGGGTGCCCTCATTCCTGGGGATCCATTGGGAAAGGGCAGTGTCAGGAGGAAGGAGCCAGGCTCTGCTCTGGGATGGCCAATGCCAGGACAAGGGGCAATGGTCCCAAGCTGGAGCACAGGAGGTTCAAGCTGAAGATGAGGAGAAACTTTGTGAGTGTGAGGGTTCTGGAGCATGGCCCAGGCTGCCCAGAGAGGTTGTGGAGTCTCCTTGTGTGGAGACACCCAAAGCCCTGGCCGTGTTCCTGTGTGACTGCTCTGGTGATCCTGTTGTGGCAGAGGTTGGACTGGGGGGGCTTTCGAGGTCCCTTCCGACTCCTGATATTCAGTGATTCTGTGATTTCAGCCTCATCCGGTGGCCACTGCTGCACAAGCTGGTTGTGAAGCATTTGCTCTGGCTCTTCTGTTAGAAGGAAACGTTACAGCCAAGCTGTGTAGTTGCTGTAAGACTTCAAGACACAGCAGACAGTTGATACCAGGAATGTAAGAAAAATGAGAAATCAACGCATTTTCCACGATCCAGTTGCTAACCCCCGGTGTTGTAGGAATATTCTGATTATCAGCCTTTGCACAGCCAGCAGGAGCAAGAGGGACAAACCCAGCATCCAGATCAGCTGCCCAGGTTCACAAATAAGTGAGTGCGTACCAAGAGCAAGGAATGGTGCATCTTTTCTCTTATTTTTCTTCTTTCGAGCCGCGTGTTTTTCTTCGAGCTGCTGATAATGATCTGTGAGTACATAAGCATTTTGCACAGCACTTGATCAACTCTCGCTCCCACCACAAACTGAACGGATGTAAACAACTCGGTAAGTTTTTCTGATTTTCAGCAAAGCAGTGTTTCAAACACAGCCAAAACCTCCCTCCTCCTGAGGTTTGCTTTTCCTGCCTCTGGTTTGGGTCTGCCTGCGATTCCCTCCGCTATCAAAGGCTCTCACCTTGCCGTCGGCCCTGGCTTTGCCCTTGAGCAGCAGCAGAGGCTGAGCCCTTGGCTCTCAGCACGGTTTCTGCTGGAACAAGGTTGCTCTGTCGGGTTTCCTCTGGGCTTGTGCCTGGCTTTCTTCTGCCTGTCCCCTGCTAATACGGGCTGAGCTCATCAGCCACCGTCAGCCCAACCTGACTGAAGGGCAAGATAAGAAACGCCGATAAGAGAAGGGAGCAGGGAATTGGGAAGGAGATGATGTTTGTGCCCCATGAGGATCCCCACTAGATTGAAGGTGCTCAGAGACTGCAGTGGCACTGGCTCATGCAGTTGCTCCTGGCTGTGCCCGTGTTGCTGAGCTCAACCCTGGTGCCATGCATTTACCTAAAATCTCAGCAGGTGCCCACAGCGTTTGCCCTGTGCCCTTGGGGGTGATCAGGACCCACGCCCCAGGGCCAGACCTCTGTGTGCAGCACCACTCCCTGAACCCAGGGTGTGCGTCTCCTCCCCCAGGCAGGAGGTCCCTCTCCTGCAGCAGCACAGCTCTCCCCTCCTCTCTGGCACATCCTGGCGCCTCGGCAAAGATCCCAGACACCAGCAGGCCAAGAGGAGCTGGCTTTTTGCGGTGGCCTTTGCTGTCACAAACCCTCCCTTAACAGCCCTTTCATCTGTCGTTTTTTTGTCTTTCGCACAGATGCAGTATCCAGAGATTAGGCTGCAGATTAAAGCTTTATTGAATCCTGAAATGGGTTCCAATTCCCAGTCCCAGCAGGACCCATGTGCAGCCGAATCTCCTCTGTAAGATTGCTGGGCTGGAGCTGGGGAGAGGCATCTCCCACCGTGTCCTCCCACGTGTGTGAATGATGGAGCCCTGACACTCACCTGGGCTGCTTGGCTGAGAGGCAGCAGCCAGGGAGGAGCAGTTTTATCCTGGGAAGGAAAGTGAGGGAGAAATGGGAGGAAACGGAGCTGTTTCATGAGTGGCTTTAGATGAGACAGGAATTAAGCTGTGGCCGATCCCTCTTTACTCAGGGTCACACTGGGGACAGAAGGTCTCAGCACAGAGCACATTTCCAGGCCAGGAGGTGGTAGCAGCCTGCAAGGGTCAGCAAATGCTGTCCTACAGAGCTCACAGGCATCCCTGGGGCAGAAGCTGGGGGAAGTGAAAGCCAGGGGGAGTGACCACGCTGGCCAACAGGATTATGCCACACCATAAATGTCACGCTCAGTGTAAGTAGGGGAGTTTGCTGGGGATGGTCTCTTTTTCCTCAGTGGTTGTTACCCCTGGAGGGTCTCACCCATCATTCTGCTTTTGAGGTCTGCTCTGATGAGTATAACTGTGTGTGCTTTATATTAATATGGGTTTATCATTATTATTATTTTATTAATTCTGTTTCAACAAATGAATGGGAGCTTTCAAGGGACCTCAATCCTTTTGCCAAAGTCTTGGGAGTTGAGAGGGACCAAAGGAATCGCATCCTTGTAGGGGTGCTGCAACATTAGAGGGTAAGAGGGCAACCGAGCTGCCTCCTGCCTCTCCTTCCCTCCCCGGGCTGGCTGGGTCCTCCTTCAGCTCTTGGCAAAAGGGGAAACTGAGGCACAGAGCAGTAGGTGCCCAGCTTTGGCCCCTGCCAAGCTGCCCCACGGCAAAGCTCTGCTGTGGTCTTTGACCAGCAACAAGCCCTGGGGCCACCATTCTGCCTCGTGGGAGCCCCTTTTGCAGCCGAGGTGTCTCCAGGCAGATCCTGGAGGAGCATCCAGGTGGGAAGATCCAAGAAATCGTCTGTTTTGGAGCCACATTGAGCAGACCTGCACGCCCTGTGCCCAAAATTCAGGATAATGCGACTTACTCCAGAGGAAAATGCTTTATATGAAACGTATCAAAGCAGATTAAAAAAAAAAACCAAACCCAAACCCCCACAGATTAATCTCTAGGATGTATATAACAAAGAAAATGGGAAGTGTGTCACAGGACTGTGGTTTGAGTCAGCTGTTTCCAGCAAATATGATGCACAAGAGGTTTTGGTGGGCAGTTCCTGCAGGAGGATGGGGATCACTGCCACGAGTGGCACTCGCTGCAACAGGAAGGGGGCCCAAAGCTCCGAGGTGGCAAATTGGGGCTGGCTCCAGCGCTTTAGAAGCAGTCGCTTCGCAAAGGCTGCGGCAGATCTGACTCACTTATCTGGAGATTGAGGTCTGCGGAGCTGAGGGTCATGGCCGGGACGTGCGGCTGGTTCCCCTCATGCACGACATACTCCTCGTGGCGCTGCTGCCGGAGGTGCCAGAGGATCTCTCTGGACAAGAAGTGGGACTTTGCTTCTGCCGGCTCTGGAATGGAGGAAAGACAAAACCTGGGCTGGACAGGGAGCAGAGTCTCTGAGAGATATCCCCAGATATGCAGCATTTCCTGAGAAGTCAAACTAGAGCTCTCACTTCCCTCTTTCCAGACACCAGAAGAAAGAATATTTAAGAAAAGAGTGCAGGAAGGAGAGTAAAATACAGGCGCTATGCACTCTCACTTCCCTCTTTCCAGACACCAGAAGAGAGAATATTTAAGAAAAGAGTGCAGGAAGGAGGGTAAAATACAGGTGCTATGCGCTGGATTCCCAGTAGTGCTTGTTGTGATGGGAACTACCTCGCGGGGTAGAAATGCATCTCCCCATCACGGAGAGCACTGAATTACCTCTGAAAACCAACGAGATTCATTTCAGCAAGGAAGCAGTGAGCTGTTTTCAATCCCTGCTGCTCTGGCCAATTTGAAGAGAAGGGAAACGAAAGGAAGAAGGGAAGAAGGGAAACCCTCGTTCCTTCCTGTCCCCTGCCACAGAGCCACACACCAGCACCCATCCCAATGTTGTATTAAACCCTTGAGGAAGCGTTCTTGCTGCCCCAGCAGAAGACTGCTTGTCTCAGGTGCCTCTGGGGACATCACCAAGGACCAGCTCTGCCAGCATCCTCTTCCCGCAGGAGGCAGCCCCTCCTACAGGGACACCCATGTGAGTGCGGACATCAGCCAAGCGCTGCGTGGATTCTGCTTAATTCCCCTTGTTTGTCCCAGTTTGAGGTCACCCGAGGGGCTGGGAGAGCACAACCACCACGCCAGACACCCCTACACCCTTCCCCTCTTCGCTCACCCTCGTACGCGACGAGCCTGTAGGTACCCGCGCACTCCTTGGAGCCTTGCAGGATCTCCTCCAAGGTCCTGTAGAAAAGCTTGGCCTGCTCCAGGCGCTCCTCCCGGCTGAAGGCAGCGCACTCGTCCTGGGACATGGCGTAGAGGGACTGCAGCGGGGTGGCGTACTCCACTGCGCAGTGCCAGAGCTGCAGGGATGGAAGAAAAAGACACGGGGCGAGGAGGACTAAGCGCCCAGCAAAGGGCTCTCGAGATCCCTCGGTGGCTGCTTGGCCTGCCCTGCACTGGTGCTGTGTGCTGGACCACCAGGATACTGGTTCTGGCCCCGGTGTCCCCCTGCCCTGTGTTGTATGGCCATGCCTCGTGTGCTGGTTGGGCTCAGGGAGCTGCCTCCTTCCCACAGGACTCCCCAAACTGCTGCGTGGGGAGTGATTTTCCCCATGGAGTTTGGTCCCCCATGGAGATGCCCCTTGTCTGTGTCTGCTCACAGATTCTTGGTGGCTTTTCTGCTAGAGAAGGGGAAGTCGGAGCATCCTAATGGAGAGCAGGAGAGGATAAGTGCTGGCAAGGTGAATGCACAGCTGGAAGGGGGCTGATCAACAAGGAGAGATTTGTTAAGGCCATAAAGATTTCAAGGAGGAGCAGGGTTACCCATAAGTCTTATACTGGGCAAACTGGGAAGTTAAATAAAGAGTATTAGAAGGAAAAGGGAAAGGATCCCTGGTTAAATGCAGAGTGAAGAGCTCCCAGCCTTGGAGGGCCTCAGTGACCCAGAGCAGGTGGTGAGGATGGGAGCTGGCATTGCTGCCACGCACGCATTCACCAGGAACAGGGCAGCAACCTGAGGGGCAGATTTTAGTGACAAACACGCAGGGGGTCAGGCCAGGGCCAGGCTGCGGAGCTGCAGGAGCTCTCTTGGTGCCCAGTGACTCAGCAGGAGAGCGGCAGATGAAACGCAGCATCAGCGCGCATCGCAGCGGGAAAAACCCGATGCTGACTGCACTTCCCCAGGAGCAGGGCCAGGAAAAAGGCTCCGGAGTCCCCGCAGGCAGGGTTTTAAAGGCAGCAGCTCAGTGCTCAGCTACTGTTAAAAGGCAAATTAAGGGAAGCATTGCTCTGATGATGCCTCTGTCCACGGCTGTGGCAGCAGGACCAGTGCGTTCCCTCCTCCTGAGGCCCGTGTGCCTGGAGATGTGGAAGGAGATGAATGCAATGTGATACAGGGGGGATTTAGGGCTCATTGGCTCAGAAAAGAGGTGATTTGGGGAATGGAGGAGAGCCCAATTGTATAATGACTCACACAGACACTTGCAAGCACCTCTTCACAACAAAAGGAAATATTCATTCATCCCATGGGAAGTGATGCTGCGGACCCCACAGCTGAGGTTTTTTTTCAGTTTTCTGCTGTTTCCCAGCCTTAAATCAACTCCAGGAGGGGTTAAGTGAGCCCAAGATCTCTGCAAGGGCCCTCCCTGCAAGGACTGAGCGTGGGAGGAGGCAGCCAGGAGGTCAGAGCCTCTCCATCTCATGAAGACTGCTGAAAGCTGGGAGTATCTAACCGGAGAGGGATCACTGTCCTGCCCTATAGCCAATTTTAGGGTAGGATCTGAGGCTAGGAAGGCCTTTGGGCTGATGCATGCCGACTGCTCTCAGTATACCTTGTTGTCTTCATCCCTGATTGCATAGAGGCTGTGTTTGTAGACCCTTTTTCTGGTGCCAGCTCGGGTCAGGGTGGTCTCAGCGACATCCATCAGGTACTGGATGTTGCTGTCGGCTTTCTCCAGGTCATCACAGACATCGCAGCTCAGAGGGACCAAGATGTGGAGCTTCCAGGTCTCCCTGTATGCCAGCACGGTGGGGTTGGCTCTGCTGAATTCCTCCATCGACTTTTTCACCCCTGGTGGAAGAAAGCAGCAGGCAGAGGTGCCTGGGGTGAGCACAGCTGCTTTCTGCCTCGCTCCCTGTTTCCCTGCTCACACTCTAAAAGTGGGAGGATGGTTACTAGGAGCTATTTCTATCTGTAGGCACGATAATGCAGGGAAACAGCTACGTACGTGGCAGGACTATTTTTAGGTACCCAACGTAATAAGACCAGGCGAGCCCATGAGCGACGTTTTGCCTGGACCTCTCCGACATCTCCGACATTTCCACTGCCGAGGGCTTCTGCAGAGGGAAGGGAAGACGGAGCAGCGGTGAGGAAAACAAGAGCCCTCCACGGCTTGCACAGCCCCTGCACATGGTGCTGGGGTGAACTGGGCGCTTTTCTGGCTGTGCCCTCCTTTGGGATCGCGTGTCTGCGTCTGCTGAGTGCTTCCAGCTGCAGGAGGAGACCTCCCAGCGCCTGATGGTGGGATTTCCAGGGCCACCAGTGCCCCCTGCCAGCTCTGTGTGTTCATTCAGGTGGAAATGAGTGCTCATGCACCTGATGGCTGCCCTCCCCATAGCACCTTTTTGTAGCCTGCATGATCCCTCTCCCCTTGCAGCTCCTGATGCTGCAGGGGTACCCAGAGCTTGGCTCTGTCGCCTGATAATTAACCCATTGGAGACCACACAGGCAACCTTTTCCCCTCAAGCATCAGCTTGACTGACAGGTTTAAAAATACCCCTGGTTTTTTGTGTGTGAGGGGGGGGGCTGCTGCCAGTGCCCCGGGGTGGCTGCTCTCATTAAAAAGGCAGCCTGGCCCTCCTGCCTGCGTGTGCAGCAGCACGGGGCGAGGAGCTCAGCTCTTCAGGGCTAATGAGAGCGTTTCTCCCTCTGCGGGGCTGTGGGGGGGGTACATTGTACATGCAGAGGCTGCCCAGATTTGGGCTGTGTACCCCCACGACTGCTCTGGGCTACTGCGCTCCCCAGGATGCCCGACCAGAGGTGTTGGTGCCTTACGTGGAGCCCCAGAGCGAGGATGAGGAGGTGGCACAGGCTGGCCAGGCCGAGGTGGATGCTGAGCGGCTGCCCATCTCCATCAAGAAGAGCCGCGTAGGCCAAGCCACCTACGAGCAACAAGGGCATGTGCCAGCGCAGGGGGAAGCAGGCGTTCAGGGCCCTCCAGAAGTTGCCGTGATGCCTGGGTGGGAGAGGGAGACAGGAGAAAGGCTGGTGGCTTCCTGTCCACCATCCTCACCTCCAGCCCACCTCCCTGCCAGGACCCTCTAGAGCAGCACAGAGCCCTGTGGGACCCTCCTCAGTGCACCCCGGGTGCCTCCAGACAGGAGAGGGCTTGGGTCTCTCACAGCGCCCATGGGTCTCAGAGGGGAGCAGATGTGATGTTGTCCTGGACAGCAAGAGAGGATTATCTCCCACAGCCCCCCAATGCTGTGGGAAGGTTGGAGGCTGAAATCTGCTCCCCAGGGAAAGGGCACACCACAGAGAGGAGAGGGAGAGGTCCATGGACATACAGGGAGCTGGGCAGGCAGGAGAAGGGAGAGGAGGAGGAGCTGAGAAAGGCACAATTTGATGGAGAGCAGCGTGTGCTGCCGGGGCACAGCAGAGCATTGCCACAGAGGGCAAACGTGGGAGGATGAACAACGTGCAGATCCCTCCCAGCACCCAGAGCCTGTGATGTCCTTGTCCCCATGGTGTCCCTGGGAGCCTGGACACAGCCTCCCTGGTGCTGGCTCACCTGGACTGGAGGTGGAAGATCTCCTCGGCCAGGTAGCAGGTGCCCCTGAGCAGCGCCCCGATCTGCAGGGCCACAAAGTGGAAGGTGAAGGCCCGAGCGATGGGCGCGAGGGGCTCCCCGGTGAGGTACAGCGCCGTGGCACACAGCGCCAGGAGTAGGTACGTGGCGCGCTGCGCTCGCCCTCCCCGCGCCTCGGGGATGAGCAAGGCGCTGGGGTGGCTTGGCCACCGCGGCTTCTGAGACATCTGCAGCAGAGAGTGGGGGTTAGTGGCACCCGTTGTCCCCAGCGTCCACAGCATGCCCACATGTGCACGTCCAGCCCACGCTGAGCACCCCGAAACACACAACAGAGCCATCCTTTCCTTTGCACGCCGCTGAAATGCAGCTGCTTCTGAGGAGGTGCTGCCCAGGCCACCTCTGTGCCCAAATGGTCTCAGCGAGACAGAGCCTGGGTGGCCACCCCGCTCCCAAATTGATGGCAGCCCTATGCCAGCCCGCCCTGCTCTTGCCACACTCACCGGAGCAGTGACCAGCTGTGAAAGCAGACGTGGCCTGGGATTCCCTCACTGTGGTTAATGGGCTCTGTGCTCCAGCCTGGGCAGGTGCAGCTCTTTTTGGAGGCAGAGACCCAGAGCCTTTGCACCGTACGGGCTTCTGGTGGCACGGATGGAGCTGCACAGTTCCCAGCACTGAGAAAAATGAAAATGAAAGGAGTTATGGCAGTTGCAGGCAGCGTGCAGAGAGCACCAGAGCCCTCCCACCTGAGTCACACGAGGGGTTTCCCAGCCCACAGGAAATCCAGGCACTGGGCAGCACTGGAAGGCTGTGGCAGATTTCACCAGCCATGAGCCGAAACCTCTGGAAAGCCCCAACAGATCTGTCAGGTCACAGCAGAGCTGAGCCGAGCTGGAATGAGGAAGGAAACCAGAATCCATTGAAACTGAATCTATTCAGTGCGGCAGATTTCAAAGACTGGATTTATTAAGTGCAGCAGGTTTCCAGGGGCGAAACAGAAGCGAATTCCTTCTAGCTAAGAGGGTGACTCACAGCAGCCTGGGTCCCTCTGACCCACGCAGCCCCAGGAGATGCTGGCTCTGGAGGCAGTGCCCAGGGCACCAGGGACACAGACAGGGCTCCTGTGGGCCAGTATGGCCCTCAGGCCTCTCCTAGCGACACAGACCCAGAGCAGCCAAGGTGCCCAAGGGCTCGGTTATTGCTGAAGTTTGCCCTCGAGCCCCCCAGGTCCCTGGTCCTAGCAGCAGCGTGCAGCAGTATTCCCGTCCTAGGGGAAGATTGACTTAGGGCACGCATCCACACGTCCATAGCTTGGGTGCGATGGACTCGAGGATGCTGAGGGAGCTGGCTGCTGCCCTGGCAAGGCTCCTCGCTGATCCCTTTGGAAGATCGTAGTGATCAGGAGGTTCCTCATAAGTGGGAGAAGGCAAACATCACATCCAGCTTAGAGCAGGGCAAGAAGGGGAGGTTGGTGAACTACAGCCTGTCCACCATCACCTCTGTCCATGGGAAGGTGATGGAGCAAATCCTCCCAGCAATCACCTGAAGGACAAGAAGGCAAGAGCCAGCAGGGATTTACAGATCACATCACACCCAACCACCTTATGAGGTAACTGAGCAAGTGGATGAGAGGAGAACCTTCACTGCAGCAAAGCTTTCAGCATGGTCTCTATGGCCTCCATGTAGCCATATGGGGTAGATACAGGCTGGGTCACCCCAGACCATGCTGTGGGGACGATTACTTTCTGCCCAGGAATACCTGTGGATGCAGGGAGGCTGCCCAGGGACACTCGCAGTCCCCACAGCCCCACAGGCACCTCACCGGGGGTCTCTGCAGGCTGCAGAGGACACACAGTGTGAGGGTCTCCATTCAGACATGCCCACAGGTCACATTTAATTCTAGTGTTTGCAAACCCAGTGGGTGGGAGGAAGGAGCAGATGCCCAGAGAGCCTGGCACTGTGCTACTTGTGCTCATCTCAAGGTTGTCAGAGTCTGTTTTGGACTTAGAAACCGCAGCAAACCCATCTTCACCGGGCAGCTGAGCTGTGTTCCCAGCCTGGGGAGGGTTTGCGGACACAGCCAATGTGTTGTTTGCTTCTTCAACACAAAGGTTGGCTAAAATATCAACTGAATCTCAACTGAATCACTTCCTGCCCCTGTGCTGGGCTGTCCCTGCCAGTTTGGCTTCACTGCCCAGCACCATCCAGCCCTTGGGGTGCAGTGGAGGAGGCTGCTGGTCCCCCAGCCCTCTTTCCTTGGGTCCCTGAGCAGCTGGGGGCCTCTCCTGCCCTCGGAGCCCGGCCCCTTGCTTTCAGTTCTACCTTTGCATGCCAACAGCCGTGGCATTTCTGCCTCTTTCACTTCTGCTCCGAGCCTGCCTTTGCCCCACAGCCCCAGGCCCGCCTCATACGCAGCTGCAGCACCCATGCCAATTGAAAGAAAAGAGCTGTTTTATCTGCCAGAGCCCACAGGGGCAGCCGACAGGGCTGAAGGGAGGTGAGGATCGGAGCACAGAGGAATCGCATCTCCAGGAATGAGATTTGGATGTCTCCAGTGGAGGGTGGACATCTGTGACATCTGAGCTTGCTGGGAATGGGGAGCCCAGTGCTTGGGAATGGGGAGCCCAGTGCCTGGGAATGGAAAGCCCAGTGCCTGGGAATGGGGAGCCCAGTGCCTGGGAATGGAGAGCCCAGTGCCTGGGAATGGGGAGCCCAGTGCCCAGGATTGGGGACCCCAGTGCTGCCCAGTGCCTCTGCACAGCCAACAAGCAGCAGGAGCACCAAAGCTGCCGCTTTGTCCTCCCTGGCCTTTTGTGTGGCTGACAATTTGCATTTCCAGATTGCGCCTCGACTGAAGTTCCCTTTTTTCCCTGCTTGCTGTTATTCTCTCGAGGGGAGGGAACGAGAAGTCGTGCACGGTGCCAAAAGGTTTTTAGATGCATAAAAAGCCCCAGCAAGCGACCTCCTCAGCCCGGTGCTGTGGCACTTCCAACGGGGCCAGTGCTGACTCCTCTGTTCAGGATTCAGCTGGGCAAAGAAAGCAGCTCTGTAAAGCAATCCATAAAACACCGCAGACCCCACTGAGGTGAGCGGTTTCTCACCCTCGAGGTTTTTAAACCAGTGTGACAGGCAGTGTTAACCCCTCGTGCACCGTGTGCCATGGCCTTTTATAACCACAGGGCAGCACGTGCATCCCCCACTGGTGCTCACCAGAGGCACAGGGCATCCTCCCCTTCCCACTCCCTGTTTTTTGGCAGGGGCAGTGTCCCAGCAATGCATCCTTGGACACAGAGAAATCACCTCTTGTGGTTTAGCCTGGCAAGCAGCTAAAACCCACGCAGTTTGTTTGCCCTCAAAAGCTCATCCAGTCCAATCCCCC